AATTTGGATTCAAAGCACTTTAACAAAAATACTTAAGAGATATTAAAAAAGGGAAAACATGGAGCTAAAAAATAAAAATCATTTTTTTTTTCTGAAATCTTTTACACACTTATTTCTTTTATTCATTACAAAGGCATATTTTGTATTAAAATACGTACTACTATAAATATTTCATAGGAAACAATGGTATTCCGTTTTATAAAATACACTGCTTCAGCGGTCGCCTAAGTGATGGTCCGCGAGAAAATTTCGCAGATCCACAGAAAAATGTGGCATATACTTACTCATCACGTTAAGTTATGTTTTAAGAAGCATTGAAACGTAATTCAATTCATAACAACACGTGAAAAGTTATAAAAACGCTGTTTCTTAGAATAACGACACAGTAAATAATTAATGTACAATGCTAAAAGTTTGATATACTTAAACCATTTTTAATTTTTTTTACAATTTTTGTTTATTTTTATTTTTAATGGTTTATTCTAAAACTTTCATAATTTGGTTACAACTAATAGTTCTCATCTTGTTAACTAGGTACATTTTATCTAGGTGTTCTTATTTCTCTTTTTTTCTTATAAATGTACTTAATACTTTAAAAATTCCTATTAGTGGTCCACGGGATTTAAATTATGATGTTACTGGTCCGTGAGGTCAAAAAGTTTAGCGACCGCTGCTCTACTTTACATCCTTTACCACTACCTTTTCACTTTTTTTTACTAAAAAGTGAAAAATATACTGAATATTTTAACATAATTTCAGCAGAATTTGATATTTGAAGTGCAATCAATAACTCGAAATTTTGACGATTGAACAGAGAGCATAATACGTACACAATTTTGCAAATTTCACACTACTCTACAATATGTTAACAAAAACAGTAAATGGATAAAATTTGAAAGAAAGAAATAAAATACAAAATTTTTGAAGCAGAAGTTGCACTCTAAGACGAGCTAATGACAATAAATCAACCAATGGTACTAGCTTTTATATCGGTCTAGAAATTTCATCCAACTTAGCTTGGCTTGGTCAGAGGAAGCAAGTATGTGTCCAGTAGATACCATCACATGGGGGTGTTCCTGAGAACAAAGCAGCTGATGAGCTGGCTGGTAGAGGTTATGATCTCTCTAGACCCAGTTCCACTGTCTTAAACCACATTCGGAAATTCATGTACCCCAAACAACTAAAATGAATGTGACTTGGGAAACCCTCCTGCTCACTACTGGTACGCAGCTAAGAGTCCTGGCCTATCTCTACAGCGCAGGAGTTCTAGGGCTCACACCAGATGGTCTTGGAACACTTCAGAAGCGATCACCTGCTTAGTATGACTTTTGTGCAGGGGTTTTTCTTTACCTGTCCCTGCTAATCTTCTGGACTGTTGGGACATTTCCCTGTGACAGCTGTTTGAAGATCAAGACTTGGTGCATGACACTATTTTGCGGAAAGGTCAAATGGACTTGGTGTAGGCTTTCCTGCTCTAAGGGGATCTGAAACAACAACAACAAAGCTTTTACATCTTTATTTTTTTAAAAATAAAAGACGCCACTTATTTTTTTATAAAGGAACACGTCATTACCAATCTAATTCTCTTATAGTTTTTCATGTTACATTATTTTTAATGCATTCGCTATGAAATTAATTTAGTGGCAGCAATTCTACATTTAAATTATCACAAATATAACAACAAAAAAATACTTAATAAAATATATGGTAAAGTTTTTGTATGGTTTTCAATTACAATCCACGTAATTTACAAGCAGGATTTTTCGCCAAGCGCATTAGGCTCCGTGTAGAAGGCTTCGTTCAATCTGGCAAGCTTCAAACTTCACGAAAGTGATGTCAAATATTGAGGGGTTACTAGCTCAGGTACTTTTCTTGTCACTTGGACATGGTTCAAAATTACTAGATCGTCGCCAATCGACCTTTGTGTTTCTTCACAGAGCGATGTAAATAAAAATTACTCACATCCTCAGTGCAAATTGAAATTACCTCGTAGAGCTTTCAAACAAATGTAATATATTTTTCGAAAGCACATTAAGTCTGTAGTGGATCAAAGTCCTCTAATTAGTGTGGTGTGGAAGTTAGGAGAGCGGTGTGCCAGCTCAAGTGTCATCCTCGTCACGTGACTGAGGTTTAGAATAGAGAGGTCCGTCTCCAATATCTCTCGTGTTGTTTTCTAGGGTGATGTTAATAATTCCCCCTATATATATATATATATATATATATATATATATATATATATATATATATCGTCAAAATTCTGTACTAAAGAAAGATGGCTATACACTAAGCAAAACTGAAAAAAAATTTATATATATATATATATATATATATATATATAAACAGAAATACGTTTATGTTTAATTTAATATATTCAAAGTATTCCAAATACTAGAAAAATACTGAAAAAAATAGGTCATGTTCATTATTCTGAGATTTTTGAAGCGTTTAATTAATTTGTTATAACAGAGAAAGAGTTTTTTTTTATGATAACCCAACTTTTTATGTGTTTCATAATTTTCAAAGAACGTTTCAGAAAATTTACAATAAATTGAGTAGAAAAGAAACTCTTGATATATTAAAATTTATGAATAAAGCTTAATTAACTAAATTGGATCTGAGATTCTTTTTCAGTGATATCACTGAACTAATTTAATCTTTTCTCTTTAAAAAATACTTTATTTTCCGTCATCTGTTTAATTAATTAATCCCAAAGCAGCACAGATACAATAATATCTTCATGAAATATTTTTATTTTTCAGAAGTTGTGTGTTTTTTTTTTAAATGAAAAATCGTCTCATTTCATATATTAATTAATTATTGTATTTGTAACATTTGTTTCACATATTATCCATCTATTTAATAATAATTATGTTATAAATGAATCTTTTTTACAATAATTGTTTTCATTAATTAATAGCATTCGGAATAGTTTTTCTTTTAAACTATTAAAATTTATTCCGTAGAGAATTAGCTTTTGAATATAAAGAATTTTATCTCATATATTGTTAATACCTAACCCTTTAATTCAAATCAGAATTGGAGTATTTATATTTTTTTAATCAAAAATGTTTCGAAATCTCTGTGATATTTTTTTTGAGTGGAATATAAATATAGTAGCAACTTATTCAAGTAAAATAATTCTGCTTCGAAAAATTATGGATATGTAAATTCTGGAGTAAACTCTATGATATGATTAAGGTAAATATATCTAGTGGGATGTTTAATATTTTCTTATTTAACATACTTAAAATGTGCTGTAATATATTATTGTAAAAAACTCTCTTCAAATAAAAATATTTTAACTATGCAAATAATTTTATTGTATTGAAAAATAAATAATTGTAAAAACACAAATAAATTTGAAATTAATTTTCATTAAAGCAAGTAGAAAATAGTTGAGAAAATCATTTTGGAATAAAAATCCATCAAATATTGTTACTTTATGCACAATGCTTTTTAATTTGTATTTAAATAAATTTAATATTTTGAACGTATACTTACCGTTCAAATAAATACTATTTTATTTAACTTATTTATTGAGAGAATGAAAATAATATTTTACTCCGTAACTAAATCTTTTGCTTAGTTCGTAAAAGTTTAATTTATCTTTAAAGAACAGTGAAGAGAAGAAAAGCAATGCTTTTTACATTAAAAATACTTGCATGTTGTAAAATTTTTTAATGCATTAAATAAAATAAGGTTTAATTTTTCCATAGATAAGTAAACACGATAGTATTAATAAAATGCTATTTTTTATAAGGAGATACAAAGTTATTAAATAACTAAAAATTCCCTATTCAGTTCAAACAGACTGGGTTTCACCTCTTTTCCCTTTATTTTTTAAAAATGAATCTTAAGGATCTCCTTCACACAACATAAAATAATATTTGTTTTAATGGATTCATCCTCATTAAAATCTCTGTAATTATTTATTGAGCTTAAAAAAAAAGCTTAAATTAACAAATGAGTTCAAAAAGTTATTTTTTTCTCTTTTTCATAGGGAATAAAAAACGAAAAAGTTCAACCATTAAAGATTCTTTTTAATTCAAGCATGGTTTAAATATTTTTTTTTCAACCTTCATGAGGAAATATGGAATACCAAAGAATGGAATCTTGCAATAGTTAGCTCAATATTGTATTACAACTAAAATATAACTTTTTTTAAGTATTATTTCTTATATGCATATGTAATATGAATAATTGTTAATATTTTTCAGTTTTTATGAAATTAAAATTAATAAATTGCAATTAAACTTTTATGAAAATTCATAAATGTTTGAATCTTTTAAAATTTCTTAATGTTTAAGAAGAGCTAGAAATTCTTAATCAGAAACAAGCTTTGTTGAGTATGTTATATTAATTTCTTTTTGTGCTGGTCATTTACCTTTTCTGTAAACTCTTTGCATTCTTATTAATTAATATTATGAATTGAATGTATGTGACATAAACTGGAATGATACTGATGAAAAATTAGAGACACACACGCACACACAAAAATGCAATACCATATAACAAATGAATTAAGAAAAATTTTAAGCACCTCTGCATTGCTTGAATTTAACTCTAACTGACTTAGGGTCCCATTAAATCCAAAATTACAAATATACAAACGTTTATATGTAAAATCCAAGTTTATTCTGAATGCAACATTCAATAAGACATGCATTTGCGTACATTTTCCATTCCAAGCTAAATGATTTATAACAAGAAATATATATAAAAAAAATATTAAGTGAATTCCTACTTAGGTTAAGAAAAAGAAAAGTTTAATATTATTTACTTCTTTTAGAAATAATTACAATTAATATAAATATGTATATACCTATGACAGAATCACAACATTAAGTGGCATAGTAGAAAGCGATTTTCCTTGCTTTTTTTCCCTTCTATAAAGGGTGTCGGACTATTATTTTTGTATGTTACCATTTATTAATTAATTAAATTAAATTATTCCTATAGAAAAAGCATAGTAAAAATAAACATATTCTCAAAAAGTAGGCTGTCCCAGATGGGTTATCGAACACATGATCTTTGGATTAGAAGTCCAACGCGCTATCAATTGCACTACATGAGACTCAACGAAAGATTTTTCTTATTATATATGCTGTTGGCTGTTGTATTTATGTTTGTGTACTATTTATTCATTAATTTAATTTAATTAATGAATTAACATTTGAAAAAACTGCATTAAAGTCAAGTGTCATCCACCATAAAGTTTTAAAAATGTATAACGTTTTAAAAATATCTTTCAAATTAAAAATTTGAATCAAAAACTTAAATTTTTATCAAATTTAAATATTTTTGCTTAAGATTTGTAAGTTAAAAATCATTACTCTACGCTAGTGCTTCTTAAACTTTCAACATTTGCGCGCCAATTTTTAGTCTAAATTTTCCTCCCCTCCCCTCTCCATCACCTCCTACAACAATTAAGTATTGAAAGCAATAATAATGTACTTCGACGCTAAAGCTACATTGAGACTTTAATAATAAACTGCACAAATGGTCAATATAGGAATTATAATTTGCATATTATTTTCTAATATGAAAGGCTATGGAAACCATTATTAATTACTAAATTTGTTTTTGATTTAGTATTGATAAATTAAATATCAAAAACTTTTTGCCGTACTAATACATTTATAAGTATCTTATATTATTGCGCGAATTTGTTTATTAATACATTTTTATGCGAATGTATTTTATTTTTTGCTATGTGAGAATGTATTTTGTTTTGCTTCCTTTCAGTAAATTGATAATTATTTTAAAGCTTTTAATTTTGACTTTTCGATATGCTAGTGCTCCCCACGTAGAGTTATCACACACCCCTACGGAGACCCACCCCACAGTTTGAGAAAAGCTGCTCTGCAAAATTTAACAGGAAAATAATATTTAAAGGAAAAATTTAAGAGTTGTATACAACTACATTGAATTTTTGCATTTAGTTTAAGAAGAAAAAATAGGGAATCATAAATAATATTTTTTAAAAAATGTTATTGCTTAGTAATTCAGAGGATAAATATTCTGAAAAAAAATATTTACTTAAGTCAAGGGAAAAAAATCAAAAGAAGGAATATAAATATTTATCGAAAAAAGAAAATCTTAAAAAATCCATGAGTTTTTAAGCGTACAAAAAATAGACTTTTAAAGAAATACTGAATTTAATTAATTAAACACTTTTATTAACCAGTTTTTTTCTAAAATACAGCAACAAAAAAAAAGGTTTTGATGCTATTCTAAATAATTTTTTTTAAAAAATGGATAAAAATTTACATTAATAAAATTTTATTAAAATAATTGCTTTCCTGAGTTCCAAACGTCGTATGCATAAAAAAGCAATAAAAATAAGCTTTAATAATATGCAAATACGGCATGATGCCAGAATTCTAGATTAAAGTGATCTACTCAAAAGAGAAAGATAAAAAGAGATGGAAAAGGGGAAAAAATAGTAATCTAAAAAAAATTAAATACAGGATTTTTTAAAAAACATCTTTGATATGTTTTCCCCGGAAGGACAGCAATTCCGAACTTTGGCAATATATTACATCTCTAGGAAAGAAAAATAGTTGTTATGAACTGATGGCGAAATGAAGGTAAAACCAACACAGTGTTTTCTGCTGTGTTGTGTTTGCGAATGTGTTATTGATCAAGAAGTTACTTATAAGAAAACATGTGTTAGGAACGTAATACAAAATGTTAAAACTAGAAGTACGTGAATTAAGTATTTAAAATAAATTTATATAACTCTGAAATCTAGGAATTTTTTAAATTTCCATATTTACAAGAAAGCTTGAATCCTTTATTCAATTTTTAATATAATGTTAGGTACTTTTCCGTTTCGCCGGCTCAAGTGATAATGTCACCAAAAATTATACAACAGACACCAAACGGAATATTCAAATTGGTAACCTTTTAAATCCTTATTTTCAAAACAAATCGTAGTCTTTACTTACCAGTGACGTCTTTTTTATCAATACATCAAAATCAGATGAAAAACAAATGAAAACTAACATTTATATAACTTTTTTTTTATGTGTATATAGTGTGTTGTCGATAAAAAACCCCTGCTTGGCGAGTTTTGTGCCGGGAAAACGGAAAAGTAACTAATTGTTATCAATATAAAAACTTCGTGTACCATACGATCAGCTTTCGGATTCCACTTCCGAAGGAATCTGCCAATTATTTTGCTAATCGCTCTAGCGTGACTGTTGTATTGAGCGTCCGTCAAACTTTTTCCTTAGTGTAATTACATTAGAATGTGTCGCCTATTTGATATATTGGTTAGCGAGAGAGAGATGCTGACAGCTGTGCGTAGGGCCTGGGTTCGAATCCCAGAGAAGGCATGGATGTTAGTAAATGTATAGTGCTTTTGCGACATGGAGGTACCCTAAATAGCCATTGATCCGCAAGTCCTCTTGTGAGATTGGTAGATAGGGAAGAGAGTTGGGAGGCCCCATACTCTCCAGGATGTTCTCCCTCAAAATTGGGATGGAACCGAGCTAAATCGTACTGTCACCTGTATGGTGATTAAGGCTACGATCAACATCAGGCGTAAATCTAGCCCCTTATCATGAGTAATTTTGTGGACCTAGATCTGACACAGTTGACATGAGGTGGCATAAGAAACAACACCGTCAATTGCCATCCGAAAAAAAATTTAATCATCATGCTTATCCTAAAACAATTTGGTTTAAGAGCTTACTGTACATTTCGAAGAAAAGTCCGACTATCGCCAAAATGTCTTGTTTTGCCCAACTTAGTCAATATTTTTTCAACCCAGAGTGAGAGCAATGTATGAGAGAGATAATTTAAACCAGGGGTCAGCAACCTAGTACTAGCGTGCCGCATGAGGCACGTGGTTCAAATTTCAGTGAACTCTTCACAACTCGACAAATTTATGAGATAAAATACTATATGTTTCTCCTCTCTACGTTTCATTTTTTTCTTATTTAAGGTATCCGACTACGTTCGTAACCGTGATTTTAAAAAAGCGCATAAATGGATACTTTTCATGATATTTAGTGTCACATTAGAATACATGTATAAAATTGTTTTAAGGACATTTTGACACAAAAAATTATTTAAGCACAATATTTCGAAAAAAATTAACTTAGAATAACCATTTTTCAAAATGTTCTCCTTTAGGGAAAAATGCTTCTATTATAATAATATGTTGCCTGTATATAGCTCAGACGTCTGTACAGAATCTCAAATATGATTTTTGAAAAAATTTACATTATTTTCAGAGTTACAACCCACTGAAATAATTATCGGCGTTTGTTTATTAAAATTTCTCCCCTCTGTTGTCGTAAAACATGGATAAACCCACTTCTAAGTTATATATTTCAAAAATTCTAGTTGGCCTCTGTACAGAGGTCTGAGCTATATACAGGTAAATATTTTTATAATAGAAGCATTTTTTCACAAAATCAGAATATTTTGAAAATGGGTCATTCTATGTTCAATTTTTGTTAAAATATTCTACTTAAATAATTTTTTTACTGTAATACTATTCTTAATACAATTTTATATACATTGTCTAATCTAAGTGACACTAAATATCATAAATATTATCCATTTACACGCTTTTGAAAAATCACGGTTCCGAACTTAGTCGGATACCTTAAAGTTCATTTCTTACTTTCAATTATTTGTCATAAAACGATTCAACTGAATCTGCTTATGTGTAATTTGTGTGATTTATGTAAAAAATATCATTTGTTTCAACGCGACTCATTCTTGGCTGTATTAAGTATTTAGACCAAAAAAGCAAATTCGTAATACTTGTAAAATGAACCATAACTCATTGCTGTGTCACCAAATAAATCTTAAGCAATATTGAAAGCAAAATTTAAGAATTTTAAAAAGATCTGGAATATAACTTTATCAATAAATTGACAAAGTATTTTAAATTGCTGTATAGCATTGATGGAGGGCTCTAGTTGTTTGAAGAAAATTGCATATACTCTGCTTTCCGCTTAGTTTTCTACATATATATCTGAAGAAATTTTTTTATAATATTAAATATATTTTGTCCACAAAGTAGTTGTTTAACAACTGCACATCCAGAACAAAGTGTCAAATTGAAAATCATACTATACCCTTAAAATTGCGGTATGAGGTATAGCTTTACAGAAATGCAATGTTCGCATCAAAATGTTGACTTTCTTTTTAAAAATATTAGAAGAGAATGCTTATGTTATATATATATTATTTATTTTTAATTTTAATAGATTTTCCTAAAATATAATTATACCTAAGCAATTTTAATTTTTTATTTATGTTGACAAATAGTTGCAATTTATATTCTGTAATTTTAAGTTAATAAATATCTTTTAATTATGCATATTTAATATACAACCTCTTACAATAAAGTTCGGTTAATGAAGTCATAACGGTCAATCTAGCAACACTGGTGAAACAAAACACTATACATGCGTAGCGGTAGGTGTGGACCATCTGCCCCTACTATTGTTCAGTGGAGCGTCGTTTGTGTTCCGTGTAAGACCTGTTTTACAAAGTGCTTGTTTAGTGCGATGGTTCTTAACTGAATACAGGAAAATGAATGAACAAAAGATCAATTAAAAGTTTCGTTTTAAGCTTGACAAGATACCGACAGAAACTTATTCGATGCTGGTATGTGTTTATGAAGTGTGTGTAGGAGTGGTTCACTGGTTTTTGAGAAGCCCGGGAAAGTGTTTCTGACAACCCCGTAGCGAAAGACCGGTGACCTCCGTGAGTGACAAAAACATTGAGAAAGAGAGTAAAATAATTACGAAAGATCGTCGATTAACTGTGCGCATGATAACTGGAAGATGAACACTGCAAGGTAGATTTAAGTTTCGGCCCCTTTCATGATACGTCTATGGATGGTACCACCCCAGAACGCACAACAAAATTCATGATTTTTTATTCACGACAATGCTCGCCCACACACAGCTAATAGTGTCAAACAGATCCAGGCAGAAAGCATTTAAAAGCAAATTGAGCATCCACCATTCTTGCCCGATCTTAATCCTCTAGAGTTCTTCCTATTCCCAAAATTCAAACTCGCTTTGAAAGAAAGATACTCGTATTT